AAACAAATAAATCCCAATCGAGGCAACAAAAGCAACGGCTAATCCGAAATCCTTGATTGTCATAAGTTTCAGGTCGCGCACACAGTTGCACGAAAAGCAATAAATAGAGAAAATCCCACCGATCCTACAAACATTATCCAATAAGACTGAAGCTAGGCAGCCTCGAATGATTCGTAAGACGTTGGCGGTGAGTTTGCCACTTGGATTCATCCGGTCGAAATTCAGGCGACGGCAGTCGGGCAAAGCTCGGCGTGGAAAACGTTTTCATTGTAAATCCGCCGTAAAGCCGAGGAAGATCTCCAGGAGGCCACGGCCCGTACCGAATGTAATAGAAAGGCAAATATAAGGAAGGAGCGCCGGCAGAAGGCGCGAATAATGCAATGCGCACTCCCGCGGGTTCCTTGACTCCTCGTCGCCATTTTTGCTGTGCGTCTACTTTGACTTGGTAATACCGCCGCCGCCACCGCCACCGCCGCCGCCGCCGCCTCCTGCCTTCTATTCCCCTCTCCCCTTCGGACTCGCACGCGCGCGCGTACACACACACGCGCGCACACGCACACTCACGCACTCTCTCTCTCTCTCTCTCTCTCTCTCTCTCTCTCTCTCTCTCTCTCTCTCTCTATCTCTCTATCTCTATCTCTATCTCTCTCACTCTCTCTTTCTCTCTATCTCTCTTGAATGCGTGCGCGCGCCCGCACGTTTACTACACGGCTTTTGTACACAAGGTAGATCCTGGCGCGACGCGTATCCTAGACGCTTACTTTTTCATCTCGGCGTCGTGCACACAAGCCATCCTTTGATATCGCGCCCGGGCATGTGGATGTACCTTTTCGAACGTATTTTCTTATTTCGTCCTCATGGAAGTTGTACACGGAAGCTTGGGTGCTTTGCCCCAATATATCAGGGGTTCATATCGTATTACTTTAAGGATAAATTTAATTTACATATCGCGAGAGCGCGAATATTAGCGGCCGAGAAGTTCGATATGCATGGCGTATTTTAAGCAAAATCTACTATAATGTGCGCAAAATTTACTTACCAACTTACTCGGGAGCCTCTCACAATATCGAGACAAAATTTTTGTTAATTTTATCATGACTTATAAGCAAATGTTTGTTAACTACTTTTAGTAATTTAAGAATAAAGAAAGTACCTCCCATCAATATTATTAACTATATTAGCAAAGTTTAAGGCGGAACTGTTAGATTTTAGAATATTAATTACTACATATTGCCCATATTGCTCTCTATTTTATAATTAAAATTTTTTATTTTTAATATGATATATATATATATATATATATATATATATATATACAATCATTCATATGAAAACAAAGAGTAAAAGTTATATAATATTATGCCTCATAATTCTTTGATTACGAAAATGTATTTTCTCATTCTTATTATGTTACCAAGCGGTAAAAGGTTGAAACGACGTAGTCGCAAAATAATGAAATAATCACAAATATACGTAAAAACAAATTTAAAGTTACGCTATAGCTAATCACTTCAGAATAATGCACTCTGCCGTAACTTTACAAAGTCTTTATTATTTTATTTATTTTTTTCTTTTTATCAATTCCTCGAGAGGAACGCGTGTAAAACTGATTCTCTTGTAAATTCGAGCAATTCGCCCGTCCATCAAGCCATTCGATCCAACTTCCTCAGCTCATAAACCGAACTTCTTAATTAAAGTGCAGAGAATGCGAGCTAGAGGAAGCGAGAAAATGGAGTCCTACCCCGTAACCCCCATCCATTGGCTCAGTAAGAAAGCACAAGAAAGCCGTGGCAAGATAAAGGGCGAATAACCTCGACGATCGACGCCGCTCCGGTCCTTTGCCTCAGTTTTTCGCAAGCCTGACCCGCCTCAAGAAACTCCCGCTCGATAAAGACGAAACATTGGCCTTATCATACTCTTTGCCCATCTCTCCCTCGCCCCCTCCCTTCTGTTGCCCGGCAAACCGCGTATAAATAACGCTGAAGAGAGAATAGTAGGGAAGTAAGTTGGCAAGATCCTTACCCTCGAAATTATCCTGCATAGCCGAAGCATTGACTCTTTTCTTCTTTCTCTCTCTCTCTCTCTCTCTCTCTCTCTCTCTCTCTATCTATCTATCTGTCTATCTATCTATCTATTATATCTATATATCTATCTATCCACCAATCTACCTCTCCCATTCTCTTTTGCTATCTTTCGCGCGACTCTCTATCTCCCCTTCTTTTCTTCTCGGCCCGTACCAAATATATCCGGAAATCCTCGAAGCGCGGAGAACTGCGCCAATCGCGTAACCACCCCCTGCCCATTTCCGCTCTTTCTTATTTCCCTTTCTTGTTGCGTACGAGAATTCTCAGAGCGAGGTGATTTCCTAGGAAAATGAGAGTTACCCCGGGAGTTGTGGGCCACTCCTGTGTCTCCGCGCACACGAGCTTGCGAATCATTCGAGGGCGGAGAGTGCATTACGTAATAAGAGGGCTCGGAGCTCTTGGATGCGTGTATGCATATGAGAACAGGCAAAGATGCTTTTGCGTGCGAAAAAGAAATTGAGAGAGACGGGGGAGCTTTGGATTTTGTGAGGCTTTTGGAAGAAAGTGTTCCTTGCTTTTCCGCTTGCTTCTTTTTTGTTTTTTTTTTGTTTTTTTTTTTTTACTTTTTGTTTTGTTTTTGGAGGTTGAGAAAAGTTTAAAACGCTTCCGAGGGAACAAACAAGGAGATAAAATATTACTGGTTGGATCTAATGAAATTTCGCGGAGACGCGCGTCTTTCACGGTGTAGTGGGGTGTGACATATTTTTTGAAATTTATGATTAGAGCCGGGACTCATACGCTGAATATTCTTACGGGGAAATTTTTCGGAGGCTGCGGTATCGAATTCCGATGAAATGGGATTGAAGAAAATGGAAAGTTCGGCTGATGAGATAACCGACGATCGAGCTTCTAATAATAAAATTGAAAACATAAAAAATATTCAAATTGCTGTATTGAAGCATAAGCAGTATTGAACGGTTGTTACTTTGTAATTCCAATACTTATTTAATTTTCGATTTGTATTTCAAATTGTAAATTTTTTCCAAAACCTCGATTCAACGCAATGCTTGATTTTGTTAGTTTCCAAAATTTATTCATACGAGATTCCATTCTCTATTCCCTACTTACAGATGTTCCGATTTTATATAATACTTTTACATACGTACAGAATAAAAGTGACAAAACATTTGGATTCATATAAAATTTTAACAAAATTGCCTAGACATATTTACTTTCGTCAATTTTACTAAATTATATATCAAGATAAACGTTAATAATGGATTTAATAAATGGAATTGTATATAATACTGGGAATTTCTTAGAGTTTTATTATTATTCAAATTTCAAAATTACATTGGAAAAGACATAATGTATTTTACAAATTGCCTGTAAATTTATCAATCAATCTACTGCCAATGTTACTTCATTTTAATAAATTGCTTCTTAAATTATATTTACCTAATCATACAAATGAAATTTGTTTTAACTCTGATGAAATAATTCCCTCCAGCATTTGTACGTAACTTATTAAACTGTTCTATAAGTAAGAATTATAAGTTATTATTTAATTAATTCTAAAATTATTATGAAAATTTTCCCCTTTTAATTAACAATTGTATTATACTTAATTATATGAAAAAAATTATTAACTTCTGTATCATAGGATATATTTGGCGTTTAATATCGTTTACTCAAGTTTAAAAAATGTTTTTTTTTTTTTTTTTTTTTTTTTTTTTTTTTTAATAACCTTTAACGTGTTTACGCATTAATGTTTATTATGTAGATAATATTTTCAAATCAAATACATTTTGAGAGAATAATTACAAAAAATTATTATTAAATTTTTAATATTAATTATGTACGATCATTATTATTCGAATTGCAAAGTAATTGACCTAGATTTTTATTATTTTTTTTTTTTTTTTTTTTTTTTTTTTTTTTTTTTTTTTTTTTTTTTTAAGAAATTTATGAGACGAATATATAATCCGTTTTTCAGTTTATTTGAACTAGGTACACTTTTGTAGAACTTTCTGCATAATTTCTTATAAAGTAAAATGTTTGGATACGATTATATTAAAACTACGCAGTTATTATGTAAATTTTCGGTTTGTGAAGTAATAAAGTGTAGTAGTGAAAAATTTTACTGCACAAACGAGTTTTCAGTTCGATAGTTTCGAAATAAATATTTTGCGATCAGAATTCACCAACGCCCGCAAATTTTTAAGCATACATAAAACTATAATACTAAAAGGGTAACTCATACATTATGAATCAATGAAAATTACAATTTCGATTAAACTTGGCGAGTCTTTCATATATTTTTCAACGTTTACATTTTATTCATTAGCTACATTGGAAATAGCAATAGTTTTAACGCCGAGAATGAACGAGGTACGATATCATCAATTATATCACACTTGCAGAACTGTCGTCGATCAGCGCACCAACTATCACATTAAAATAAACACATTAAATTAATAAAATAATCACATTAAAATCACATTAAAACTACAACCATCTCTTATCTAGATTCGTTATAGCGTTTGACGAGCTTCTACTCTCATCTTCTACTACGACAAATCCAATTGACTCTGTGACTCGTTATAAGCCTAGGTACTGCTCGGTGCTTAGGTTTAATATTTTTTTTTGGCCAATTCCAATGAAATAAGAAAGAGTGCACCCCAAGGTGTTTTGTTTTTCAACGGACGTAAGAACCAAACTCTCCCCTCCCCTCACACCACCCCACCCCACCACTTGCTCAGCACTGCAATCCGTTGGCTCACCTATTTTTCAGAGCACGAGTCTCCTCTTAATGTTATGATCAAAAATGCAGGCTCGGACTGTACACGTTTACGCCGATCGAAAACAAGTCCCCACTCGCCGAGGCTGTAGACCTTTTTCCATCGCTGTGTTTTAATGGAAATAATGCGCCTTTTACACGAGAGCCGTTGCACGTCGAAAATTGATTGATTTTTCTTTCTTTCTTTCTTTCTTTCTTTCTTGCTTTCTTTCTTTCTTGCTTTTCGGTGCTACTCCTCGGACGCTTTATGCCGGCTGGCATTTATTTATTAGGCTAATTATATCGTCGCGTTTCATAGGGGCTAGATAATCGGTTGCCGTGACCCGATGATCTGCATGTGATTGTGAGGCTGGATTGACCGTCGTTATGGCGAGAGCGTTTCTTTTTTCTTTTTATATACGGGCGCAGGCTCGAGCGAAGCACTCGTTACCGCGGTTCGACTGAAATAATAAAAATAAATTATTACGAGCTGCCGAAAAACGTGAAGTACACAATTATTATTATTAAAGCCGAGGAAAATAATGGTAATTGCGCACGTTTCTGCCTTCAGCAGTACGAACAATTGCATTGTAACGCAGCTACGGGGAATAGGAAAGCGAGTTATTCGCTCCTCGCATTTCAAATGCTTCTGTGCACTTGCGTTACGTTCATTCCTTTCAATAAGTATTATTATGTTGTGCAAATATTATCAACAATTTGATAAACAACTTATATATTAATTGCAATTTTTCCTATGGCTGTATATCGCTATGCGAACACATCACGTACCTACCTTATTACGCAATTTGCTTTATTCTAAAATGAGTTCTTAGCTGATTAGAGGTGTGTTTGTCACCTCACAAAAGCAATTGACACAATAGTTTTCGTTATAGGCAATTCGTTTCACGTAATTTAATTACGCAAGCAATTCAACGCTGACGCTATTCAATGGTCAATACGAATTTTCTGACTTTATCTTACTAAAAGCAGCTCGCTCGATTTTAATTTTTATTTCGAAAATTAAATGAAAATATAAGGATAGGAAAATCGTATTTTATAAATAGTTCATAAGCTCGTATATTTTCTTGGAAAATTTAATAGACAAACGGATAGAAAGTATTCTCCGATACGTGATATTTAAATGATATTTAAGATACTTAAGAGAATTTAAGATAGAATGAAATAAAAGCACAGGATTAACAATTTCAATACGTTATTAATTTTAACATACCTATTTTAATTTAATTATTTCATAATTGCAAATTACATTTTCATTATTCATTTTTTTTTTTTTTTTTTTTAGCATAATATTCGACGCGCAATTAAGAGATAAAGTATTATGTACATATTGTTTTACAACAGATAACAAGTAGAATATGAAAATAATATTCATTTTAAAAGATGCTGCGTGGTTTAGCTTCCTAGAATTTTATTATCTTACATGCATATTACTCGTCTAGAATTGTATATGTAAACAATTAAATAAAATTCTCGCATATTAAAGAAAAAATTCCCTTCGAGATAAATGTTTTAATAAGATCGTTCTAATATTTCCATGCAACTTACTTATTTGTCTTTAATTATAATATTCATAATACAAAATTTTTAACAATATTTATTATTCGTCTCGCGATTCAATAGCTTATCTTTTTAATTATTTCAACATATATTGTGTAAAGAGGTATGTCTTACAGGTTAACTTTGTATGTAAACAATAGTTATCTATCTTTGTTTTTTTTTGTTTTGTTTTTTTTTTGTTTTTTGTTTTGTTTTTTTTTGTTTTTTTTTGTTTTTTTTTTTTTTTGTTATATTAGGATGCAACCACATTTGTCATTAATCCTTAGAAACTTAATTCTATGTTATGCTTACAAACAAGAACTCGACAAGCATTTGCACCGTATTACGCTGTTGCTCCGTATTTTATTGCATGCAAGTATGGAAGGGACTTTCAATTTAAAAGAGACAGTGTGAAACTATGTTGTTTATGCAAGTGTAGTTTCGATCACGGCAATAGCGACCAATCGGGTCAAGGATCTGTGATATTCTAACATTACGTGATTCTAGAAAGGAAGGATAACGCATTGATGGAATACGCGCGCGCGCTTGTGTTTGTGTATAAAGTACTTGTAGAAAGTGGAACCTCGCGATTTTGCCAAGTGATCACGCTTTATCAGATGAAAGTGAATTTCCTTTAATTCAAAAGATGCCTTGCTGTATTTTGAAAGGAACAGTTATTAAAATGATTATCAAATATTGTTTTAATGCAATTATGCGTTTGTTAAATCTCGTCAATTAAACAACAAATATAGGATTCCTGCTTTTCTTCAATGAAAGAAAATCATTTCATCACTGCGTAACGTAATTACAATAATAAGAAAACAAAAATTGATCAGTTATTAATGCTTACGAAATGTCGAGATTTATTTGTATTTTGATAGCAAGCATGACAAACATAAAAAAAAGTGTTATTATTAGCAATAACAATTATCCCTTATTACATGCTTTATAGCTAATAGATTATAACAAATCAGTCATGCTTCCCATTCCATTTTTTTCTAATTTTATCAACGTTATTTCCTTTTCGAAAGCAATCATTGAATCATTCAGCATTTGAATCTCAATACCGGCTTGAAAGTCGTGTCTTCGATAGCGAAAAGGCGTGCGTACATTTTTACGCCCAGTCAAGGATAAAAATACCCGCGCGGCTCCTTATCAAAACGGAAAACAAGCTCGCACGGTTCTTTCTCTCTCTCTCTCTCTCTCTCTCTTTCGCACCCACCCACCCACACCCACCCACATACACACACACACACACACACACCCACCCACCCACATACACACACACACACACACACACACGGAGAAAGAGAGAGAGAGAGAGAGGGAGGGACAAAACAAACGCGAACACAACAAACAAACAAACACCCGTTTTATCTCGGCAGTCAAACGAGAGACAGGAGAATCGCGAGCGATGGTGTCAGGTTCGTCCGGTATCGCGTTGTCGATAATGTTGTGGTCAGAACTCGTGGTGCCGACTGTACCGGCTCGTGCAGGCTGAGACACGTTTTCCTATACTTGTCTCGCTCTTCCTCTCTTCTCGGCTTCACCACTCTCCCTCGCGCCGCCTTCCAGCCGCCCTTCTTACTCGCTCGCTCACTCTCTCACTCTCTCTCTCTCTCTATCTTTCTGCGAGCGGAGATAAAACAAACGAGCGAGGGCCTGAAAACGAGACGCTGCACAGTGGCCGAGGATAGCAAAGAGCCACAGAGCGAGAAAGAAAACGAGGGAGAGGACCAGAAGAAGCGAGAGCATCTATGCTTGCGTGCGCGCGCTTGTCCCGTCTCTCACTCTCTCTCTCTCTCTCGTTTCCTCCCTCTTCCCCTTGCCGCCGTCTCTTTTACGGGCCCGAGGGACAGTGCACTGGACGCGCAGTGCATTATAACTACCGCTCTCGTGTTCTCTCCCCTCCGTCGAGTCTCTCTCCCACCCCCTTCTGCCGCCGCTGCCGTTGCCCCCGC